AGTGAGCAGGATTTTACACAACATAGAAGGGACCGCCTTTCGACAGGAGAAGCCATTTCAGCCAGATTCTACGTCTTCATATCGAGAACAAGTTAGCCCCTCAGTTGGCAGCCGCCGAGCAACGGTTTCTAGGGCAGCGTGACATCCTCAAGCACGGTGAATTGTTTATAATAAGAAGCGTGGGTTGAGCCAGTCGACCCTGCTCTCTTTTCCCTCTCCCAGACGCTAATCCACTGTCGGAGCTGGTCAGTGGAGGCAGTGGCTGACAGAGCTAAGGCGTCTGACGACGCGTGCCACACACACGCAACTTTGCGTCCCCCATGTCACACCATGACTTCCCATAAGAAAAGGTAGGCTGCTCGGATTTCATACGTGTCAGAAGTAGACGAAGAACATGATTCCCACGTGTGCGAGAGGTGTTTATTATGTGCTTGTGATGAGCGTTTTTGTGTACACGTGCTAGTGACGAAATATGTGATGATGGTGTTCGGCCAGCGGTGTCTAACCGCAGCCTGTGGTCGATTAGATTCCCGGTTGGTATTTAGGTAAATGATGGTGCTTTAGGCATTGTGATTCGCCAGCCTCTGTACGATGAGTTCTCAAGTGAACCAACCAGGTTGATGCACAATGCAGACGAACGATGGCAGCGTGGGCATCATATTTTGGGAGCTGCTGAGTCGGTAACCGTTGTGATGTGTTTACGCTGTTAGCTGGAGATTCGCTAGAGCTGGAGGTGGGATAGTTGTCTGGTGTGCAGGGTTTGCGGGCGAATCTATAGTGCGGCGAATTCCGCTGTTACTGCAGTTACCGATTAGCAAAGATCATGTGGATGGAACCGCGTTGTCCGCGGAAAGTACAACGGCTTTTCGGGAGTAGATCGTATTCCAGATGCCCGTTTAGGCGATTGAGAATGATGCGAACGAAGATCATCCCGAAAGTGCTGAGCAACGAAATTCCATTGTGATGGACAATGGTCGGGCTCTTGAAATCCTGGCTTAATTGTCCGTGGAGCCACATCTCCATACGTAATCCTTGACTACCTTGACTTTGCAATAAAATATATATTACCATGGGTACATTTTCGGGGATTGGAATAAAGTTTCAAAACGATCATCGGCGTCAACTTGGTTTATGAGCATAAGCGAAACTGCCAAACGGACTTAATAAAATAGGGAAACAGTGAGCACATTCAAATTGCGGTGCCATATTGCATGTTGATTAGAACTACTATTTCTCTGGTGCAATACCTTCCAAGTAAAAACTTACTTTCAGATTTCTGTCATTCATCCATGAAGTGCAGCCTCTTTAACAGACATAAAATGGATGATTTACTAAGTGAGATGAAAGTAGGATATGTGTGCTTACTTTTGAAAAAGATACTTTTGGATAGAAATCTCCGCAAAATGGAGGCAGACTTGTGTACGTGTTTCCGGGAGCAAAAAGTAATTATTGTCAGTGGCGATCTCTCCACCCCTAGGAAATCCGAGGTCCGAATATATGACAGTTACCGACCTCATAAAATATTAACTAGCACTCTGAAACTCGCTTTCGATTAGGAAGAATTGCTTAAGTGGGACCATAATATTGACTATCATGGCAGGACAGAGTTCACTACCATATGCAACGCGGTTAGCTAACCTTGATCTCTTTCCCTTGAGTTACAGGCAGTTACGGGGTGACCTGATACAAGCCTTCCGTATCATACGCGGTCAGGACTGCAGCCTCGTACCGGGGGACTTCTTCGAGTTAGCAACCACCACAAATCTACGAGGCCATCCATGCAAACTACGTGTGACAGGGGCCAGACTGGACACACGAAAGTTCTTCTTCTCCAACAGAGTGCTAGAAGCTTGGAATGCCCTGCCTGTGGATGTCGTTATGTCTGCTTCCGTCGACGTCTTTAAGAGGAAACTGGATTTGTGTAGCAGTGTCTACTAAATTACCACCGCGATCTCTGAAACCTTGACAAATTCCGTTATTATAATACTACTTGCTATATTTCAGTAGCATTTTAAATTGCATTTATTGTTGTACCAACTCATCGCCTACGCTTACTGACATGCACCTATGCAAATTTTGTCACCGGATATATTATTTATTTCGCTGCACTCGAAACGACAGCTCTACAACTGCTCTTAGCACTAAAATTCGAGACAGTTTGTTTGTCTGTACAGAACTGACGCGTTTCCGATTATTTGTTCCTTTATGATACCTTTTCGAGTTTTTGAGATTTTGCAGTTGCTTGTAAGCAAATAGGGAGTTCAAAGGTGAAGACCTACATTTCCCTCAATAAACTGAACTGAACTGAACTGAACGTAATTGCGATGTATTTTGGACATGATGAGTGTTGGCTTTTGAATACACTTTTTTTCGGTCGTCAGCAAAAGCGAAAAATGACTGCTTAAACAGTGTGCATTTCCTCCACCGATTTTCGGTTCATTCATAAATTAAAATATATTTCCTAGAAGACTTCCACAAAGTAACATTTCCTGTACTCTTTGGGCAGCAGCCTATGACATTTTAAAAATGTCATTTGGAAAGGGTAACTTATCGTTTTAAAAAAAGTTTTCTGTTCTCGAATAAGTTTAAAATCGATCTGCGTGGCATTTTTGTCTGGGATCATCAGTCCACAGGCTGTAGTTCTTTCATGCAAAGAAAAAATATACCTTGCCTTATACCAATAAGGGGATAATATATGGGACCCATAAAATAGTGTAACGGACGTGAACTGTGTTGTATATTTAATGAGGAACACTGTTTAACAGACAGGTAAGATGCTATTCGAATGGGCAATGCACGGTACTAAAACATCTCACAATAAGAAACCCTTTAAAAGCGAAACATACTCTTTCTATGAGTATAAACTCTGGAGAAGACGTGATTTGTGAACAAAAAGTACATTTAGGTATATATTTTGTGCATATATAGAAGGTTCTAGAAAGCCAACCACAGCGCCGCCACGTTGTAGAAAGTTCTAGAAGGCGCTCCCCTAGTCCCTAAAGGGGCGCGCGCCGAGGCCTTCCACATTTATGCGACAGGTAATTAGCCGCATTTCAGCTTCTGATAAAAAGTATACGTCTAATGCATTATTATAGGCAAAAATTAACGAGACGAGCTCTAGCTTAAGTCTGTTTAACTATCCTCCCTAAACCTATTCCCAACCAGTCACAGTGACGGATTCAAGCTTGACGCCTGGAGAAGCTATAAATACGGATGTGAAATAACCGTCGACAGCCCCGTGGCCAGTCGCTGCTCCTCAGATGCTGGACTCCTGCTGCTGTCTTTGTTGGACCTCGGAGTTCTCCGCCAACTCCCTTGGACAATCATCTCGATCGAGTTTATTTTGTAATTAGGATTTCCCCTTAGTTTCTTTTTGTACACAGATGCTTTGGTATAATAACCACTAGTCACTGTCTTGAATGTATACTTTCGTCCGGCGGGAGCGTTACACATGTTCCCTGCAAACTATTTTTGAATCTATAAGACATGGAAAATCGTTAGAGAAAATTCTTACCAATTATGCCGTCATTTTCTACCGACTGTAGTTTTTGCGGGCAGTCGAAAAGAGGTGGGCTCAAAAGCCAATACTATAGTGTGTGTGAAGTATCACGGGATTATGCTGCAGGATAATCGATCTTACAGCGTCAATTAAGTAGTCCTTCCTAACCGAAAACGCATTTCGAAATTTCAGTAAGTGTTCCATGATATCGATCACGCGGTGTGAAATACTGGCTCTTAGTAATATGGGGGGGGGATTTTTTATCAACGTATTTTGTTGTCGGAAATATGTTTTCAACATCTTCAAAAATTCAGCACGCCAACTGAAAGGTGGAGTTGCGAGAACCTCGAGGCAGTGACGCCCACTCTTTTCGACGACGCCAATTTTTATTTCCTATTTTACTATTATTTTAGAAGGTTTGACCGTCGTGCGAAAATTGAAACCTCCGGTATGACGCATAAATGTTCGGTTGGGGGTGGGTTTCCGTAAAAAATTGTTTTCGGAAGTTTCTTCGAAAACGCGATCTAACAAACACCTCTGGCGATACTCACTTTGCAGCCATCTCACGTGATGTCAGTCGGATTTCTCAAGTGTGCGTATGCATGTATGTACGTATTAAGGAATGTGATAACCAGTAAATTGCTGTGAGAGTTGATCTTATCTCATTTCTCTATGACTCAGGAAACGTCTAATTTCATGGGTTGTCTGATAAAGCTCGAGGTTGACTAGAATGAGGAATATATGGGAATGGTAGAGTGGCGCTCACCGATCGTTTTTGCGGAACTTACTCCTTCCGTTGTGCCTTATGGGCTCCATCTTGAGCCCAACCAGCGGCCGCACAGCGGGGCATAATATAGACAGGATGCTATTACTGAGAAAGACAACGGAGACCGGAATGGCCCCAGGTGTTCCACATTTCGAGATGGAATATGACTGGCTGACGACGGCTAATAAGCCAGAAATAGCCATTCCAGGCTCCCTTGTCTTTGTCGGTAATAGCATTCTGACTATATGGGAATACATGTCAAGGCCATAAATCGAAGCATGCAATTACATAGATTTCATTTTAGATACACTCATGGCATCTTGGATGAATACGACGACTCGAAATAAAGGATACTTACAGAACAACCTTCTAATAGTCGCGCAGGCACGTCACTTGGAGAGACGTATAAGTAGCACTAAAACTATACCATTCCCTCCTAATCAAGAGAATATTTTCTTAGCCCGTAATACAAGTAATACACGAAATTAGCCTCCCTGATGGAGTTGTGCAGTGGCCTATGAGAAAACCTACTTCGAGGACAGCTTACAAAATTTTAAGCTTTATTCTGTGCGGATGTGCTAATTCATGCACCCTACTTTTCGCATTTTCATTGACGATACTTATGAAGAAAGTCTATTTTAATGATTTTCATCGCGACAGTAAATGCTTACTAGAACCCTTCTGCTTAGGGGCATAAACTGATACACAAACTAGTTCTAAAAACTTTGCGACAGGATGATTGTAAGTCCCAAGAGCATATAAGAAGTGGGCAGATTTTCAAGAAATTTTTCGACATATTGTAAATGGTTGTCATGCCCATTCTACTTCTTTTCATCGCCTACCGCTTTGAGCAGCATGACTGTGTGGAGGAAGAGGTTTAACTTCAAGTTCTCTCCACAATATATCTGAAAAAATATAAGTCAAAAATATTCTTAAACGTTTCTTTGTGTGAACTGCATACTGAAAAATTGGCTGCTCTTTGTTGATAATTAGGTTTAAACGGCCGACAAACGACGGTCATTTGAGGAGCTGCAAAGTTGAGAACAAAGGCATTAATGTTGCTTTAGTTGTAAGAATTTTGAGGGCATTTTACTCACGAAGCGCAAAATAGGCTTTAGAAGTTTGCAGTTATACTCAACAAAATACGACAACTACGACGAGCGGTCGTCAACCATCGAAGTTGTCTCTCGAGAAGTAAAAGAACTGATGCGCCGAAAGAATTATTTGTTGTTGGCTTGAGTAGGACTACCAAAGATAACGCTTGCTTCGTGAATTTTTAGAATTGGATTTCCTTTAGCATTCGTATGTAGAACTGGGTAACCTTGGACGGATTTTCTCTTTTTAGCAACCAGATTGCGGGTCTGCGAACATTAACTGTGTCCTATTGCATTTCTTTTATTCTAAACTAACGTTACGCAATCGACTAAAGATATTCCCAGCGATACTCTGTGAATGGACATAGAAGAATATTTCATGCTAGCCACTTCTGCAAACCGTTCGTAGTAGTAAAACGAATACTAATAATCAGTGCTTTACCTCTTCTTGTGCCAACTCCTGGTACAATCGAATGTCGAAGAATTAAGAAGGTTTTAATGGACCCTTTTCTGTTCAGTGGCCTCCGTTCGTATTTCAGTCAATTGTAATCATGTTTTCGCTCTGTTTACCGTCAATGTACACACGATGGTTGCAAACTGAAGTTAAGGCGCAATCTCAAACGTTAACCATACGGAGACGCTGTCATGAATTATGGGATAGCAAAAACTGTTTAGCAAAAGACTTTGTCTGCATAAATTAATAACGCTTCAAGGTCAAAATCCCTTATGAACGTAACCGTATGAGCAACATTAAACGGTTGGCGTCTTCTGTGGTATTTTATTCCATTGTAGCAGAATAGGAGGAGGTCCATGTAAAGGTCTTAAATTTTTGCCTGAAACCGTTTCGTTGTCTCTGTGCAACTGTTCGGCACTTTTCTCACTGAACGTAATTGATACGTTTGGGAGAAGCCTATTTTTCCTAGTCTACTCTGCAAATGCATAATAGAACTATCCGGTGTCATTTCTTACGCCCACGGTCTTTCCAGTTGGATTAACTGACGCCCTCATATGGGTTAGCCAATTAGAAGCTTCCAACAAGCCGATCGAGCGGCTTCCACAGCGCATCGGCGTATTCTGATAAAAAGGGGCTGGTTGCCCCTCTTTTTCTCCGCTCATAGACTACAAAACATGACCCTAACAACCTACTTCTGCTTTGTACTCAGTCTCTCCGCACTCGGTAGGTCGCCCACAATTTATTCCTGGCGGTGCGCCTTAAAATTTCAGTTTGGCATGTTTAGAACTGAAATTTTTTGTTTCTTGCCAGCACTCAGTCAAGTCAAAGAGCTAATAATACATCGCAATCCTGGGACACGAATCAACAATGAGTTTTTTACTGTCGAATTTGTTGCACGGGTATGATTGATTTTAGCAGTCAGTTCTAATTTCGGTCTCTTTTATTTCACACTGGGCTGAAATGTAAATCGGCCTACAATGACCTAATTAATACTCATCCTAGAAGCGAACTTCAAAGGCTTTTTTTCATTCCACAGGCAATAAGGGAGGCATGCGATGATACTGGCAGAGTATGCGGTCATATCAGCGGTAAGACACCCTTAAGTAGTAATAAAGCACCCCCCACCAAATATCCTGTCGAATTCATTCGCGTTTCTTTTGGCAGGTCACAGGGAGACGTTTACCATTCCTGCGGGTACCAAAATCTCGACCGACACAAATTATATCACGGTTAACAAATTGGAAGGCGTAGGCGCTTACATTGAAATAAACGGTAAGTGGTTTTGTGTTTAGCCTAATACTGTTTGATGCAAATAACTGACCGTCGTAAACTTTATTTTTGTAGATAATCCTCCACTTGATGGAGTTACGTCACTTGGTCGGTTGGACGTGGTCAACGGTGAAGTCGTGAAAAACAGAGTGTTCACGGCCCAATTCCTCGTAACGGTGAGTATATCTGCCTATCATAATGCTGATAACTAAACATTAATTGCCATAAATGCAAGTCGCTTCACTGCTTATTTAGGGCACCAATCCACAACTTCCATTGGCATCTTTTAAAAGTAAGCAAAGTAAACTGCTTATTTAGCCGATTTATACTTGTTTTGTAGTTGATTCTGTCGGTAAAAATCGGATATTTTTGAGAATCCCTGATTGGTAGGCACGATTACTATAAATGAAAGTGAAACTCTTGTGTTGGCCTTGCGGAGAAAAAAATTTAATTTTGACATCCAGGCCCCGCCTTAAAACGTTACTTACTTTTGCGTCTAATGAAGTACCTCCTAGCATATTGCTCCGTCGCTGAATATACACCTTTATTCAAAGAAAAAGCAGTTGTTTACCGTTATTATAATTGCGTTACATGTTCAGTGACTACCATATTAAAATATGTAGTCTTAGTAGTAAGAATAGGTTATGCTTATAACTCGCCAGTGATTCGTTTCCATGCCCGCATTTCACATTTGGGATAATAAGACATTTCAGCCGACCGAAACGTATTAAGTTAGGACACAGGCCTAAAAGACATAGTGATAGCTTTAGCTTTGCCATCATCCTAAGTATCGTCCTGTTTTCCAGCTAATGCTGATTGTCTTTTGACTTGGTACATGTAATTAATATTAAATAGTAATTTTAGTAAATGGACCATCAGGAGATGACCATACAGTGGCAGGTTCTAGTCTATATGGCGCAGTCAGTGATCGATCACATGAAATGACGACCGAAATTTTGAAACGCATAGTCGATTAAGAAGGATTATCAAAGTGGTGTTGTAATACCCGTCATCTTACGGCAGTAACATTTTAAGCACACCAGTGTGGTGTATAAATTTATTTCTTTCCGGCCGCCTGAAGAAACCAAATCCTTTAAAAAACTACTGCTCAATTAATGGGCATTTTTTATTGCTTTTTGATACTCCTAACATTTCAAAAATACAGTAGATGTGCTAACTCATGAAATGTCAACCAAAATTTCGAAATGCGTTCTGGTTTCGAAAAGATAAATTAAGTAGTGTTGTAAAACTAATCATGATGCAGCACAAATCTATAATGATCCAGTTACCTCAGGGTGTCGGCTTTCGAAAGAACTTATTTCCGACTACATGCAAGATCTATACTCTGCAAAAAAGACTGCTTATGTAGTATGCAATTTTCTCATTGATTTTCAATGCCCTCGAAAATTCAATTATATTTCATGAAAACATGCATAAAAATGTTCATTCTTTTACTTATCCGGTAGAAAATCACGTCTTCTTCCAATTTCATACTCAAAAGAAGAGTATAATTCGGTTTTAAAAACGTTTCTAATTGTGAGATTTTTTATTACCGTTAAATGGCCGTTCATGAAACGTCATGTATGTGCATTTACGAATGTGGCTTGTAAAGTTAACAATATTACTCAAATCCACTGCTTAATTTTATGAACCTCATATGGCCTCCTCTTAACACCGTAGAAAAATGCTTGGTTTTCCGTACACGAAAAATATACAGCTTGTAGTTTTGAAACCCTGAATGCAAGTGTAACAGCAGGTCGGGTTCAAAATTATTCGGGAATTAGAAAAGTTTTTAAAACCGAAGTATACTCTTCTTTTTAGTATGAAATTGAAGTAGGACGTGATTTTCTACTGAATAAGTAAAAGAATGAACATTTTTATGCATGTTTTCCATGAAATATAATTGAATTTTCAAGGGCATCGAAAATCAATGAGAAAATTGCATACTACATAAGCAGTCTTTTTTGCAGAGTATAGATCTTGCATGTAGTCGAAAATAAGTTCTTTCGAAAGCCGACACCCTGAGGTAACTGGATCATTATAGATTTGTGCTGCATCATGATTAGTTTTACAACACTACTTAATTTATCTTTTCGAAACCAGAACGCATTTCGAAATTTTGGTTGACATTTCATGAGTTAGCACATTTACTGTATTTGCAGAAAAAACGCAAGAAAATCTTTTTCTTGCAGTCGTTCGGTAGGAAATCATGTCTTCTTAAATTTTTTTATTTGGGGAAAGTATATCTTTCGGTTTTAAAAGTTTCTGATTATGAGATTTTTGGAGGCTGTACAATGTCCACTCTGGCTGCATTGCATTTGTCTGTCCATAATTGCTTCCCATAAATTATGCAACGTAATCCATATCAATTGCAAAATTCGATGAGCCCTGTATAGCCCCTCCGCAAGGGAATATAAAAATTAATGTTTCTGTTACGCGGGCAGTATACAGCTAGTAAATTGACAACCCTAAATGTAAATGGAGGAGCAGATAGATCTCAAAATTATTGTGGATTCGAAAACATTTTACAAACCCAAACCATTCCCTTTTTAAAGATAAGTTTGAAAAATACCTCATCATCTACCAAATGACTGAAAGAAAGAAGATTTTTATGCACGATTTTTGTAAACTACATATAAATGTATAAAGGCATCGAAAATCAGTAAAAACTGCTCACTATTTAGGTAGTCATTTTTTTTACCGAGAACGACCATTGCGGGCGGCCGAAAAGAAAAGGATCTAAAAGCCAGCACCCTGACGTGTCTGAAATCCCACGGAATTATGTCGTTAGTTGATCAATATTACAATCCCACCTTTGTAGGTGCCCTTCCTAATCAAAGTCGCATTTCATTATTTCAGTCAGCAATTGAGGACATCGGTCACCGACTGTATTATTTCTGCATTACTGCAGGACGTGAATAAGCAGACGCACCGAAGGACTCAGTATAAACACTGACCCCCCCCTTAACTGATTACATATATTTTTTTCAGATGAGACAGTGGTCCTGCTGAATGGGCCAGTGGGCAATGAGCGAGTCAGTTTCACGCTCGCGGAAAAAAATGATGGAAGCGGAGACACTTTTGTACTGACAGTCGATCCAACCGGTGTGCCACCTGCCCAAATCCTACATGATCTCGCGTCACACAGGGATGGAAACCGAAACAAATTTGCACGGAATGTCCAGCTCCGCAGGGCAATAACAAATGGGTCAGCTGCCGCGGCCTCAAAGGACTTCTGCCTTGCCGTCCTCCTGATAATGTTGACGAAGCTGTTCTCCGAAATTTAACTTTTCTGACATGGAACCGTCAGTCTGTGCAAGTCACATCAGAGTAAACATGCTGGTTGCATTTGTTACTCTTTTTTGGGAATAAAGCAAGGCGAGTAAAGGCGTAAAGACATTTTGGTTGGTTGGAAATTCGCAGGCAACCACAGCCCGTAAGGATTGAAAAACCGCAATTCATAGACATGGGGTCATCGCGAAGCGAATTGAAAAGGCCAATTGTAGACTACTGAAGTCATCGCAAAGCAGTCTTGCAGATGAAAATTCTCCCATTCAGACCTCGCAAGTGGCGATAACATACTTCTGAGGGTTGGTCTTTTGGCAGGATCACACTCTGCGGGTGTAACAGATCCTCCCTCTCACAAAGCACCCCTATGGGTGTCAAATGGTAAACGCTTTCTGTACTAGAATTTCAGGGTTTGGGCATCCGGTCGGTGGGACATTTGTTAATGATACTGACGATTAATCGCTCTCGGCAGACTGGAAAAATGAGCCCCACTGATGAGCACTGTTCCCAACGCCAGGGTCGGTGGGTCAGATAGTTGAACAATCATCACATCAGCGTACAGCATGCGTTTTGACGCTGCAGCGATTAACTACGCGAATACTGACCATCGAACGATCATCAAACCAAGTGTAACAATCCCTGACGAAGGGGGGAGCCATGAATTTCCATAGGTATGCGGTCTCATGGCAATTACCTCCCATAAATACTGCGGACCCTTGTGCGTGAACTGTCCCAATCTGCCATTAGCTCTGATAATGGGTTTGAGCAGGAATCCGAAAAGTTGGACGAATGAAACTCCTTCCCCTGCGATCCTGTCTCCTTCTTCATGATTCCTTCCTGTGACTATCCCCTTCGTTTCCATTGGTAATGTCATTGTTTTGATGACGAACATTTGTATACCGTGTTTCTGTCTGGGCTTGGGGCATTGTTGTAACATCATTTGAAAAATGTGTCTTTTAGTGATTTACACTGTTTTCCATCCCCAAAAATCAAATATGTAAGGCTTCGCTTTTTTGTCATAGTTCAAATAGGCTGGTAGACGACTTTACGTATCCCCAAATATCCATTTTTTTCTCAGACACAAGAAAACTTGTCCATGTGGGTCTTTATGCGTGGCTTCCTTTCAGCAAAGCAGACGTCAGCTGCCTCTAAAGCCGACACGATTCGGAACTGAGTAGTAATGCCAGTAATTTAAAGAATTTCAGCACTCTCAGAAGGATGGTCTGCAGGTTACCAAGTGAGGAGAGCGATATATGGCAGACTGGAAAATGAATATTTTGCAGCGAGGTAGGAAAATGATGAGATTGATAATTTTGGGAAGCTGCTAGGCACTTTATCTTTATCTACAGCTAGTAAGAGATTGGTCAAGAGATAGTGTATGGTTTGCAGTGTGGACGGAAGCAAAAACTGCAAAATTATTCTATAGTACAAGATGGTTGTAGCGTGGAAATCCATACCCGCAGAGATTATTCACTCCTCATATGTGGGTTCGTTGAAGGCTAAACTTGGCACGCATTCAATATCTAACTTTTCCGTAACACTCACTTGCCATTAGTTTACTTTTTAAATGTACATACTATTATACTACTCGCGACTATTAGGTACGCCTTAAATTTGTATTTTCACATACTTCAGCCTGCTAACTACAGTAGGGGGGGGGGCTAACTCGTGAAATGTCAACCGAAATTCCGAAATGCCTTTTCGTTTCGAAAAGACTAATTAAGTAGGGTTGTAAGACCAATCATCCTGCAGCATAATTCTATAATAATTCAATTATCTCCGGATGCCGGCTTTCGAACGAACCTCTTTCCGGTCTCATGCAAAAGCCGGACTGTGAAAAATAACTACCTAATCAGAAGAAGAAGCGATCGCTGGAACAATGGCTTTATTCGCCTCTTGTATCGGCAATTTTTTTGGGCGCGACGCGCTCCGATCGGCCCGACGATGGGAAACTTTCGCCCTTCGAGAGGCCTCTACTTACGCGCAGATCCGGTTTCTGCACAGGTGTCTCGATAACAACGTGTTGCCGAAGTGTGTTTCATACAAACCTCCGGTAAACACGGAGCTAGCGAGACGCGCAGTATTAGGCGAATAAAGTCATTGTTCCAGCGATCGCTTCTTCTTCTGATCAACTAGTTCCTGGAACTCGCATTTTCGCTTGTATCGTCAATAACTACTTAATTAACATGCGCTTTTCCCAATGATTTTCGATGTCCTTAAAAATGCAATCATATTTCATGGAAAGCAGGCAAAAAATATTCATTCGCTTGGTAGATAATTACGTCCTCTTCCAATTTTATACTCGAAGGAATTCGGCTTTAAAATTTTCTAATTGTGAGATTCTTTAAGACCGTGAAATGACCGTTCATAAAACGTCATGTCCCTGCATTTAACAGTCGGGCTTGTAAAGTTAACAAAACGGCTCAAATCCACTGCTAAATTTTATGAGCCCCATATTGCCTCCTCTTAACTGGTAGATAAATATATGATTTTCCGTATGCGGAAAATATGCGCCTTGTAGTTTGGAAGCCCTGAATGAAAGTAAAAGGGCAGGTGTTCAAAATTATTCGGGAATTGGAAAAGTATTTGAAAACTGAATTATACTCTTCCTTCGAGCATAAAATTTGGGAAAAGACGTAATTTTCTACCGAATGAGCAAAATAATGAATATTTTTTTGCCTTACTTCCTTGAAATACAATTGAATTCGTAGGGGTATCTAAAATCAATGAAACGAATGCATACGACTTACGTAGTCATTTTTTACAGAGTATCGTTTTTGCATGCAGCCGAAAAGAGGTTCGTTCAAAAGCCGGCGTCCTGTGGTAACTGAATTATTTTAGATTTATGTTGCGCGACGATTAATTTTAAGCTTTATTTAAATAAGCTTTTCGAAACGAAAACCCATTTCGGAATTTCGGTTGACATTTAACAAGTTAGCCCTCCTACCGTTTTTGTCACATTCATAGATGCAAACAGCCTCACTTTTAAAGGTTTTATGTATTCGTGTTGTTTTCAGTGTTTCTGTAACCAATAGAAATTTTAAAAGCGTTAGGCTATCTTTCCCTCAATAAAACTAAACTCAAATTGTAAACAGAAAACGCCCGGCGCTAAGCGGGACATTTTGCGTTTAACTTATGTAGAACGAGAGAGAAAATGAGATCTGAAAAAAGAGCCCAATAAAGTAAGGCCGTCTCCTGCATCAAGTCATTACAGAAAACAAGAGCCTCTGGGTGTTTTCGGAAAACCTCTAACTAAACTCTGTTCGCGATATTTGTTTCACGGAAAAAAATACGGCCGGTAACATGCGCCTGAGGAGCAAATCCTAGTAGACTTAAAAGGACTCAGACATAGAAACGTGATTGGTGAAACATCAATATCAAGCGACGGCGAACTCAGAACATGGGTCGGAGCAATTCGATGCTGGTTGTTGTGCGTGTTTTGCGCATTAAAGCAACAATGCATAGAACTTCGGGCGTACAAGTGAAAATGACGACAGAAATTGGGAATGTACATAACTCACCTACTAGAGCGTTTGATTTTTCAAAAAACTCTATAAATATGCAAAAAATTATAGTATAAAGTCTCTGAACTTGGCAGGAAAATGAATGCGTTTAGTAGGCAAGGAGTTTTGTGGGCAAGGAGTGTCGTAATGGATTGGTTGGGTGAATAAATGAGTGTGGTGTTGGCAGGTTCGAGTCACGGACAGTGCAGCTGTCCCAGGGCCATTCGCAGTGACCAACGGAGTGAAGCGGGACTGCGTCCTCGCGCCTACTCTCTTCAGCCTCATGTTCACTGCCATGCTGGTGGACGCCTGCCATGACGAACGCCCTGGGATCCGCGTAGCATACAGGACGGACGGCCACCTCCTGAACCACCTGCTAATGCACTTCCAGTCGCGTGAATTCACAACCACCGTCCACGAACTTTTGTTCACCGATGACTGCGCCCTCAATGCAACTACTGAAGGCGATATGCAAAGGAGCATGGATCTCTTCTCTGCTGCCTGCGATAACTTCGGCCTGATCATAAACACGGAGAAGACGATGGTCCTACACCAACCGCCCCCCGACGCTGCCTACGCCGCACCCCAAATTAGCGTGAATGAGTCGCCGAATTTCCAGGCCAGTCGTCAACCGTTTGGTTACGCAACCCTGAAGGGTGATGGCCCAGGCTGAATGCAGAGCAGAGTGTCGCCCTTCTAGGTCCGAAGGTCTGAAAGCGTTTTCCATGCCAGCATCAGCAAACGATGGTCCTCGCAGACTGGTATGCGCTGGCAGTTCCCCGACACCTGGTTTCTTGTCGGTAGATGCGCTTGAGCTCCCAACGTGCCAGTCATCTGCGTCCTCCCCCCGCCTCCGGTCTTCTGGAATTTGTCTTGACACCGTATCCAGGTGGGGGTGGAGGAGAGTGAGCGGTAGAAGCTGCGCAAGTCTGTTCTTGACATAAAATAATTCACGCGCCAGTCATCTTGCCTACTGAACCTTGGTTTTTAGCACACGGTAGACATCGTTGGAATAGACGGTCGGACTGTCGTGGTAGTTGAATAAAAGGGACTGAAACAGATGTGTCATATGATAAGAATTAGCAACGATCGGATGGCATTAGGGGCGGCGTAACAATTAAAAAATAACAGAATTAGGTCTCTCATTCGGAAAGGTGTCAATTTTATCAGTCTGTCTAATGATATAATGCTTGTATACTTGCTGGTGAACATTAAATGGATCATAATAGGGAGATCACGAGGGATTTCAAGCTGTGTCATACTGGACGAAAACAAAAATGTCCTCGTGCGCAGACATAGGTCTTGAAGTCGGCTGAGCGGCATTTGAAAGTAACTGAGCCAACCGTTGTTTTAGTCGCTTCCCAAAGATGACCGGAATGCTGCTATCCATGGTCTTGGACTTTACATATTTGCTATGTAGAAGGAGGAGTTTACTGTGTACCTGTTCGGTTGTGGTGCACTGGATGTCCTCTTTGACAGAAGATCGATACCCAAGAGCACTAGAAGGCGATTGTCACTTCAAGGAGCTGAGTTTGAGTGGGACGTCAGCGCAGCCTTGAGTTGACAGTGCTCCACCAGGCCGGTGGAGGCGGAAGACCATGCCATGGTTGGTACGTGCGGGCATCCGAGCAGTTTAGTGGGACAGACTAAAATATATGACCGGGAACAAAAAGTGACCTGTGGGGCGTCTCTAATAGGAGGTGTGGTAAAAGGTTATGACCTCACAGAAGCGAACCTAAGAGAAAACTACTCGAAGGACGTCCACGCGTCCGGCCCAAGCGGACGAAGAACAGTACCAACTTAAATTTTGGCTGAATATTGCAAACCTAAAGGAAGCATTGGAGACTTTTCTCTCCCATATTGCGGACGTCAAGGATTAAGTCGTTTCGTAATGTTCTCCCTTGGGTACCCGGGCATGACGGCGATGAGGGCGGAGAGGATATGCATACGAAGACGACTTTTGCATCCCCACAAGTCTTTTGCCTTTTGTGTGTAGGAGGTACAAAACAATAAGTCCTCGGGGTGGTTTAGTTCAAAGAATGTCACCCTGCCGGGCTTAGTGTCGTCGAAGGCGTGATTAAAAACTCTACCAAACAACGCCTACATTAATAAATATATAGTAGGAAGTTCACAATAGTAACCCTACGCCAGTCATATGCTTCATCCTTACAATTTAGTGAATTCATGGAAGTGACCAGATTGAAATCGTCTTCCATGATTAAGTGGTTATGATGGCTGGCGCACCAAAAGTGGAAATCCAGTAAGTCAGGAATAGCCTGATAGCATCCACCGCCGAGGTTTCGGAGATAGAAACGGCGATCAGCCATCGCGTGAAACAGTCGTCAGGATGTGTGTGTGTGCGTGCCTACGTGAGGAAGATAACGCTCCGACTAGATCAGAATGAACGGTAGAAAATCAAGCCTTTGAAGCCGCGAATATGCTTGCTCGAGAGATGGCATGACCGTGGACTTTGCCTTTTTGGAACAGTATCCGAATTCATCTTCGGCAAGACAAAACGAGCGCCCATCGACTTCCAGTCAGTCCGGATTCCGGTATGCGACAGGGAATGAAAGTGGTCTAACACGCCCTTACGGTATGACAGTGGAGCAACAGGTAAAGGAGTACCTGTGGACCAGTTACACAAAGTCGTAACTGGTGACGGAGTAAATTATGTACTTCAAAGCCACATGGCAATAGAAGTATGCTTGTCTGCAATGGACTTATCTTCCAATTGGAGGCTTATTGGCTTCTCCGCGACATGTTGTGCGCATAGATCAGTATTTGGTTTCTCGGTCACAAATGCGCATTCAAAGCATGCTTTATTCCAATATTTGTAGAAAAAACGCTGGCAGCGGTCGCAAACGCTGTCCTGGGCCCCCCGGTAGGAGGAGGAAGGTGCGTGTAAAAGGGGAACAATGGAAATAAGGGTTCTACGGGTGGCGCAGTTGTATTCAGTGGAAAAATTGTCCGGTAATTATTGTTTTTCAGAAGAATATCCCAACAGGGACAAGAGTTGTTTAAGTGAATATGAAAGTCACAAAGTAAAGGCTGCGCAATTTAAAATGTATCTAAAATAACCAAAAAACAAATTTGCGCCAATAAACGGTGTAAGTGGGTGCCCAAGGTCACTGAAACCGAACCGAGAAACTAATAACCAATGGAAATGAACTTCCAACGGCAAGGCCGTAAAAAGGTGCGCGCTAGGCAGGCACACTACACGGTCACACTATCGATCAAGAACGCGAAAAGACGGATGAGAAACTAAAAGTAGGATAAGGTCCCTAAAAGGCAGCGAAAGTAACGATAAAACCTAGTCTTAACCTTAACTGCCGACAATGAAAGTAATCCTAACCCCACTACCGAAATGCAATAATAATCCCAAAACATAAACGTAAACACGGCAGCAAACCAAAGCCGAATTTCAGCCGAAATCCTACTTCTAATGCTAAACCCAAACGTACATGAAGATGCCGAGAGGAATGCTAACACTAACCCCAACTCTAACCCAAACACTAACATTAGCCGTAACCCTAAACCTTACCCCCAACGCCAACTCTAAACCATAACAGTAACAATAACGCCTAGCGTAAAACCTAAACGTAAATCCACGAAAACCTAATCCTCAACTCTAACACTAAACCTAACATTAAACCCTAAACCTTAACTCCAAACTCTAACCCTAGCCCTAACTCAAACCTTAAACTCTAAACCTAAACCTGCACCTTAACCCTAACCCTAAATTATTACCCCGATCCTAAACTTAACCATAAACCTAAACCCTAAACCTTAAACCGAACAAGTACCCTAAACCTTGACCCCAACCCTAACTCTAGACCTTGATTCTAACCCCAAACCCATGAAACCCTAAGCCCACGAAACCATAACCGTAAATCCGACGCCCTAAGCCCACGAAACCCCAACCGTAAAGTCCATGAAACTACAGTGAGTGACCGATCTTATAAAATATTGGCTGAAATTCTGAAATGCGTTTTCGATTAGGAAGAATTACTTGGTCGCGGTTGAAATACTGATTATCTTGCGGCATAATCTTATAAAATTTCGGACTCAGCAGGATGTCAGCTTTTGAAAACACTGCTTTTCAATCTCCTGCAGAAGCCGTACTCGGTAAAAAATTACTACATAATTAGCATGCATTTTTCCTATTGATTTCCAATGGTCTTGCAAATTCAAATATATCTTATTGAAACCGTAAACAAAATGTGCTTTCTTTCAGTCAATTAATAGAGAATCACGTCTTCTTTATATTTTTTACTCAACGAAGATGTATAATTGGGTTTTAAAAAAGTTTTCTAATTGCCGAATAATTTGGGGCCTGATCATTTATTGCATCAGCGCTTAGTAATTACAATCTACAAGGTACATGAGTTCCGCTTAAAGAAAATCACATATTCTTCTATGCCTTTAAAAAGATACCAAATAGTGTCCATACAATTTTACAATGGATGCGGACTATGTTGTACATTTCATGAGGAGCTGTGGTAAACGGCCAGGTACGATGCTGTGTGAATGGACATTGCGCGGTCTCAAAAATCTCATAATTAGAAACTTTTTAAAACCTAGAACGAGCAGCAGCGTCATAAACTGACCATAAGTAATCTTTATAAGTATCACACACTGAGGAACATGAAAGGGAGTGAACAGAATAAATGAATTCTTGACCATCTGTCGGCTTTAATCCAGGTAACTGCATGTTTATTGTAAAGGCTTTTCCATCCAAACAACCGAAATTCCCATTTGCCCAGAGACTACCACTTAAAGAAGAGGCTCAGGTTGCCAGAAAACATGAAGGAAGATGACGCGTCCGGCCAAATACCACAAAGACAATGACACTCAGAATGGCTAAATACTGTGGATTCTATTTGTAAGATCGGCTGCTACACGCATGCTGCTGACAATGATGAGTTTAAAGACGGTCGGTCAACTCTAGATGTTCAGTTCAGCTCAATCCACTTCCATTAAGGGATATATAGGCGAATGCCTACGAAATCCCTATTGGTTACAAAAACGCAAAAGAAAAATATCGATACATTAAGAACGCTGTAAAGAAGACTGGGTACAGAACCGCATACAATAAGCATGCAGCTGTCTAGTAAATGATAATATATCAGTTTTTGCCTGATGTGGCAAAAATAGTGGACTCATAAAAACTCATTGCTGAAAAGTGAACATGTAGACATCATCTACAATGCACTGGACCACACTGTAGACAGGATAACATTATCGCAAAAGATAAGGGAGACTGAAATAGCAATTTCTGGCTTATAAGCCGTCGTTAGCCATCTACACTCAACCCTGAAGTGTGGAACACCTGGCTTCGGCCCCGCTTCCTGTTGGTTAGAAGTCCATCGTCCCTAACCGCTGAGTCTTTGTCGGTAATGCTATTTTGCCTATAGTACGCGCCGTTGCGCGGCTGCTGTCACGCGAAGAAAAATTTAACTAACAATTATAATACAGTGTTACTGAAAGACAGAAGGTAGTATATTTTATAACGCTTAACTTTGGGGTGGATGGTACAAAGGGAGAAATGCGCTAGTTTCTGACGATGTGGTGGTATGTGTGATTTTACTGGTTACTTTCCCTCTTAAGAAATTCCACGGATGCGGACATATCGGCGTCAGTAATCGGAGCATTCCATGCCTTAATCACTCTGTT